GACCTGCATTTCCGCCCCACTTATACCCCGCCCGCCCAGCAGAGCTGAGGTCCGGTTGGCCCAGGCCCACCGGCCTATTCTCGCCCTTCCCAGCTCCCCCTTAAACCCTGCTTTCCCCGATCGTGGGCAGGCCCCTGCTCCCACCCAGTCTTTGTACTGACTTTCACCCTGGCCCAGACCCTCTCTGTCCTTTGGTTTACCTTCTCCCAGACTCACCTTCACTGTCCCTCTCACCACCCCCGTTCCTCTTCAAGTGTCCCACTCGCTACTGTTGTCCTTCTCCCAGGTTCGGTTCTGACCCTGTCTCCTTTCCTACCACAGATCTTCAATCTGGCCCTGATGTTCTCACTTTTCCTCTCCTTACCATTAGCCTTCTCCCTGGCCCTGACGCTCTTCTACCTTCTCCTTGACCAGAGGCATGATTTTGGCCATAATCCCTAACCTCCCCTGACCCTAGCTTTTGTCTTGACTTTGGCACTGCCCGGGTCTTTGCCCTGTCCCTTACTTTGCTCTCATTTTCCTGGGCTTCCACTCTCATCCCGAACTTAAACCTGACCCTCCTCCTCCCTCTGCCTAGTTTTGCCCTCATCTCAGGCCCACCCCTCAACTTTACCTTTGGGACTGGTCCTCATCCATGCAGGGGCAGTTTCCTCCACCTTGACCCTTCCTTGTCCTAGTCTGGGTACTGATCCTGGACATAACACTGTCTTGGTCCTGGATCTTGCCGGGTTCAGATCAGATTCAGCTTATGGGTAAAGTTTGGGGCGACAGTCAAGGTCAAGTTCAAGTTCCGGGGTCATTGCTGGTATGTAAGAGTATGGCCAGGGACAAAGCAATGAGGGTAACAATCAGAATGAGGGTGTATCTAGTCTAGGGTGAAGTATGTGGCAGGTGAAGGATGATGGTGAGAGGTCAGGGCCATGGTTATAGTTAGAATCATTCAAGATCAAAATCAATGTGAAGGAAGTTTTATGGCCAGGGTTAATTTCTAAATCAGGTTAAGGTCATGATAAAGTGTGGGGGTCATGATCAGGATTGGAGTTCTGGTGCGGGTCAGAGTCAGTGACAGGGTGAAGGTTAAGTTCAATTCATGGTTAAGGTGAAGTTTAAGAATAGGGTAGGTCAGGATCAGGATGATGGTCACTGTCAGGGTGAACTAAGGCAGAGAGTTGGATCTAGGCTGATGGTAAATATCCAGGATAACCATGTATTTAACGTTCAGGATTAGGGTTAGTGTCAGATTCAGGTTCAACATGAAGACAATGTCAGGGTCCAGTTGAATTAGATGCCAGATCAGGGTAAGCATGAGGTTAATTATCAAGTTTAAGGTCAACTAAAAGTCAAGGTGGGTATATTTCTATTACCGCCTTACTGCCTTAACAAGTTACCACAACCTTGTGTCCTGTTAAAACAACAATTATTATCTTAACAGCTGTAGATCAGAAGTTTGGTTTGAGTCTTATTGGGCCCAAATCAAGGTATCAGGTGGGCTGCATTCCTTACTGCAGGTTCTAGGATAGAATTCATTTTCTTGGTTATTAAGGTTTGCACAATTCAGTTTCTCATGGTTTTAAGAATGAAGTTTCCATTTCCCTACTGACTGCCAGTGGAAAGCCATTCCCAGCTCCTAGGGGCAACCTGGATTCCTTGGCTTGGGGGCTCCCAAGTCCATCTTCAAATTAAAAAAAAAAAAAAAACAGTAATTGGGTCAAGTCCTTCTCTTCATCCTTCCATTTTCTCTCTCAGTGCAGCAAACAAAGGCTCCTGCATATGATTAGTTCAGACCCACCTACATAATCCAGGATGCTCTTCCATCCCAAAGCATATATCCTTTATCACATCTTGAGCAAAGCTCCTTTATCCATGCATCTTAGACCATTTTCTGTTACTATAACAAAATATGTCAGACTGGGTACTTTATAAGGGTTTACTTAGTTCGCAGTTTTGAAGACCACAAACCCAAGATCAGGTGGTGTCATCTGTTCATCCTATGGTAAGGATGAAGACCCTGTCTCTAAACATAAAATTAAAAAATTGGCTGGGGAGTGGCTCAGTGGTTAAGTGCCCCTGGATTTAACCCCGATTCCAAAAAACAAAAAACATCAAACAAACTAACAACAAAAAAAAAAGATTATAAATGAACCTCTAAGCACTGCCATAACTACAGCACAAGTACTGACATGTATTATCAGTAAGCGAGTTCACAATATTTTCTATATTTGTTTAATCTATGTTTAGACATGTATTTCTTAATTTTCAATCACATGGGAAATTATGTTCTTATTAGTTTCTAGCTTAATTATATTATAGTAAAAAATTAGATACTTAATTTCACTTTGATCCTTTGAAATTTGTTGAGACTTACTGTGGCTCAGCATATGCTCAATGTATTGTAGTGTGTGCTTGGGAGGAACATGAATCCTGCATTATCTGTGTCCTATATTGGCCAAGTATTCACAAATGTCTGACTGCCTATTATTCATTTTTAGGCTTCTCTCCCTGCCTTAGGCCCCCTGCACTTTGGGCCCCTCAGTGTAGGCAAGCATCAAGAGGTAGACCTGCTCTCGTAAGGCCTGAATCGGAAGACTAATGAAAATAAACAGTCCTGGAAAAACATCTGATGATGCTGTCTCCTGGCTCTCACTGCCTGCTCCCACTCCCTGAACTTTTCTTCTGGCTCTGCTTATCTCTCCTTAAGAAAGAAATGCCCTTTTCCATTTGCTTTTCCAATATTTCAGGTCCTGAGATCGAGGTGTTCTCCCAATTAAGTTAAGTCTTTTAACAGTCTCTCAGTCTGGACTTATTTTTGGCTATATACAACCACTAGGTAAATCTGTTCACCCTCTTGGTCAAATTGCCTACCTTCGGAATTGTTTTGTCTTCTTGACCTCTGTTTCTTGGAGAGCTGTTTTAATCTTACCATTTGGAATATTTGTCTGATTTTTAGCTCTGCTATTATTTAGTTAACATCTCAATGTTTGAGACTATATTATTACATGCATACAAATTTAGAAAATTTTGCCAATGAATTGAATATCTTTTCATTAGAATGTAATCTGTTCACACCTTATAATATTTTTGCCTTAAAATCTATTGTTAGATATCAAGTAACTACATATTTTTGTTCTTTTGTTTGCATGTTTGGTATTTACTTTTCTCTTGAAAATATCAGTTTCATTTTCTTTTTAATTAGGATACCCATATTTCAACTGGAACATTTATTCTGTTTATATTTAAATTACTGACATTTTCAGCTTAAAACTATCATCTTACTACGTGCTATATATTTGTACCTTATTATATTATTTCTTAATTATTCCATTTTTCATTGCAGTTTTGGATGTTGCATATTCTTTAATCTAACTTTAAAAAAAATTTTTTTTTGTAGTTGTAGATAGACAGAACACCTTTATTTTGTTTGTTTATTTTTATGTGGTGCTGAGGATCAAACCCAGTGCCTCAAGCATGCCAGGCAAGTGCTCTACCACTGAGCCACAGCCCCAGCCCTATTTATTCTAACTTTATTTTTACCCAAGAAAGTACAAGGCATCCCTGGCTTACGGAGTATAATTGTTACATAGTCTGTTCTTGTAAGTCCACCATCAAGAAAACCTACAGTAAGTTTTCTGCATCTGTTCTGCTTATTTTAAAAAAATATATTTTTTTAATGTGGTGCTGAGAATTGAACCCACTGCCTCACGCATTTGAGGCAAGTGCTCAACCACTGAGCTAAGACCCCAGCCCCTGTGCTGCTTATTTATATTCCTGTCTTATGTGCCTGGTTGTTGTATAATATAGAGTTAGAAAAAATTTTGCCGAAATAATTTAAGGCATCTGTTGATAATCACCAAATGAGCTTTTCATCAATCAGCTGTATCCTTTTTTTTTAATATTTTTTTAATTGTCAATGGATCTTTATTTATTTATATGCAGTGCTGAGAATTGAACCCTGTGGCTCACACATGCTAGTCAAGTGCTCTACCACTGAGTTATGACCCCAGCCCCCAATCAATTGTATCTTATTTAAACCATTTTCAAATACATCAAGTCTGTCCAGGTACAGGGTGGTCTACATATGGTTGTGTAGACCTAAGAGCTTGAAAAACTGAGCTTGACTGGAGTTTAGAGTATGCAGATATACCTGGAAAAATAAATGGAGGCCAGATCATGAAAACATCCGACTTTCCTAAAAGCAACTGGGATTTTTTTTTTTTTTTTGTCTCATCTTCCCACAAAGAAACCAGCAGCTACAGTGACATTAATCACTTCTGGGGCTGGAGATATGGCTCAAACGGTAGCATACTCGCCTGGCATGCGTGCGGCCCGGGTTCGATCCTCAGCACCACATACAAACAAAGATGTTGTGTCCACCGAAAACTAAAAAAAAAAAAAAATTAAAAATAAATTAAAAATAAATTAATCACTTCTGTATCCTCAGTGCTCAAAGAATTTATGCACATGATGCCTAAAAAAAAAAACCCTTTAAGAATAAAGGACTGCTATGGTTAAGCTTCTGTTTTTCTCTCTCACTGAACTAAAGTCTTTATGTGACCACCATCCTAGTCATTATGTGACCTTATAGTAAATCTTGAACCTGGTAAGTTCTTTGATCATCACCTCTTCTTCCTCCTCCTCTTGGCAGTTTGCATTCATACATATATATACATATGTACACACACATACATACACACACATATATATTTTTTTAAATATTCTTTTTAGTTGTAGATGGAAAATAACTTTATTTTTGCTTATTTTTATGTGGTGCTAAGGATCGAACCCAAGGTCTCATGCATGCAAGGCAAGCACTCTACCACCCCAGCCCTCCCATGCATTTTTGGAATCATCTTTCCAAATTGTTATCAAATAAAAATATCTGTACCAGTTGGGGTTGTACTAGGATTTATTGAATAAATGAATTCCAGGTCTGCCAGGTTTCCTTACTTGCACAGCTGCTTTGGTTCACCCTCATCCTTAGTAACATCCTAATAGGCGAAGACTTCACTGCTGAATCCTCAGCCTGCCCATCCCTGGACCTAGACTTCCCTCTACCTCATTTCCAAATAAGCACTCAGTCACGGGAAGCCACAGGAAGCCCTCAGGGCAAAGCAGCTGTGCTTGCAGTCACCTTTCAGGTGAGGGCCAGGAGACACTGTCACTTCTACCCTCTCCCTTAGTAGAAACAGAGGAGGATGAGACATAGGCAAAGTCATTTGGGGCTTTTATATAAATCTTAAATCCTGAATTAAGAGTGTTCACTGAGAACCAAAACAAACCTACCTGCCCACTCAGGTTCCCAACATGAGAATACCTTTCTCTCTGCACTTCCCAGATGCTTCTAACAGGAATGTCCTGGAGGAGGGTAGAGCCACTGCATGGGTGGTCTTGGGACAGAATGCAGCACAATGGTCTCCTCCTCTGCTTGGCTAGACATCCTCATTGCCTTGGCTGAAACGTGACCTCTGCCTCCTTGGAACCCTGGAACCCCCATCAAGGAGGTTAAGGAGCAGGCCACAGTGGGAGAAAGGCTAGTGTGGAGTGAGTCCAGTGTGGCCCTGGGAAGGCCCGGGAAGGTGGAATCAGGCAGGAGGCGGACAAACAAGCAGCCCAGGTACTTCTGAGGGTCAGGCAGGACCTGCGCCAGCATCTCACCCCTTTGGGATAAAGGGCCGAATCAGTTCTGGATCCAACAGCGACTCCTCAAGAGGCCGGTCCACATGGAAGTCATGGACATGAGGAGGTCCCGGGTGGGCCTTAGAAGCAGGCCCCCCTGGGCGCTGGGGAATTGGCAGCTCAGATGGGTGGGCAGGAAGGGGAGCTGTGAAGAAGTATTGATGCAGGAGAGCCTGGCAAATAAGGGGCAAGAGAAGGAAGGCCAGTCACCACACCATCCCAGCCCCAGGCAGAGGTCAACAGCTGACTTAGATTCAGCCAACTCAGCAACCTTCCCTGGGGGCCACCTGTGTGGAGCCCTGTTCCAGAGACTGGGGACACAGTGGCGAACACACAAACCAAGCTCTGCCTTGTCCACAGCAGCGGGGAGGGGACGGTGAGGGTGAAGTTAAGAAGGATAATAAACCAGATAGAGGTAAAATACACAGTATGACCTGTAATGATTAGTGCTATAAAGAAGACTGGGGAGGGGGGTTGGTAAGGAACACGGAAGTGAGGCTACAGGCTTGAAGAGGCTTGAAAAGTGGTGAGGGGTTAGCAGGGCACAGTGGCACATGCCTGTAACCCCAGAGACTTGGGAGGCTGAGGCTGGAGGAACACAAAGCAGCCTTAACAACTCAGTGAAGCCCTCAACAACTTAAGACCCTGTCTCAAAATAAAAAATGAAAAAGGACTGAGGATGCAGCTCATTAGTTGAAAGCCCCTTGTTCAATCTTTGGTCCAAAAAAAAAGAGAGAGAGAGAGAGAGAGAGGGGTAAGGGTTACCTGAGAGGCAGGTGAGTGAGTCAACAAGCGGAGCAGCAAGAGTCCTGGGGAAGAGTGCTCTGGGCCAGAGCACAGGCCCCAGGGAGAGGCCCTGGGGCTGGACAGGAAGGACCACGAAGGACAGTAGCAAGCAGGTCAGAAGGTGACAGTGCCACCTGCAGTGGCTATGGGCTCCAAAAACCCTGACTCTTCCTGAGTGAAGGGGCACAAGAGGCCCCTGGCAGAAGAGGTGTGTGACCTGCTCTACTGGGGAGTCCCTTTCTCTGCCAGGTGGAGAGATATTAAACGGGATGAGGGAAGTCACAGGTTCTGGGAAGCCATCCAGGAGCTGCTGAGGGCAGGACCGAGGACGTGCAAACACAGGCTGCAGGTGCCAAGTGTGAGAGGGAGTGGGCAGCTCTCAGGCTGCAGGCACAGGACCCCTGGGAGCGCGGCTCCAACACCCCTAGCCCCTGCCTCTGTGGTGCTCACTGTCTTTTCCTCCTTCTACAGCCAGTCCTCCCGGGTCCTCTCCCCTGGACCACTCTTACCCTTTCTCTTCAGCAAACAACTCAAAGATCTTGTGCTTAAAACTGCCCAATGCCAGGGCTGCCCCTGTTCAGCCCCAACCACCAGGGGAGACCGCCACACTCGTGACCCTCTGGGTTTGCGGCTGCCTTACTATGGGGGTGAGGGATGCCCTGGAGACAGGTCATATTGTCTATGTGAGGGCTCAGCAAGGCCTGCCATGTGCCACAGATGAGGGCATGAAGCCCCAGGAACTCTGCTGCTGTCTGCCACATGGTCTGCCCTCTCCCGAGACCCCATGGGCCACCCTACTGTAAACCCTCAAGAGGTACTGGAGATGTCCAGTGGTGTCTGTTCATGGAAAAGCACACCTGCCCCGAGGCTCCCATCACCTGGGGTTCTGGACCATCACAGGTTCTGAGGATCACTGACTTGGGTCCCATGGCTATGGGGGGCAGAGTATGAGGACAGTGACCATGGACTCCTGCCTTACCTGGGAGGCTGCAATGCGCTGGCGAGGAGGGTAGAGGAGGAACTGACCCAGCAGGTCCAAGGCCTGAAGAGAGGCGTCCGACAGGACCTCCCCCAGGGGCACTGGCGCCTGTTCCTTAAAGGAGATCTTGTTGTAGTCTGGCAGCTCTGTGATCTCCTGGGCCAGGAAAAGAGAAAGCGGCACATGAGAGGAGGCACTGCCCCAGCTGCTCCCTGATGCCAGCTCCCAGTCCCTCCTATTCTCAGGTTCACAGTTCTCCTGTCCACGTGCCCCATCGCCACTCATTCACTCACTCCTCACCCTCTCATGTCCGCTCCGCCCCCAGACACAGAGACACTGTGTGCACATGTTGGAGTAGGAATAGGCAGAGAATAGGACCTGGCCCTCCTGCCTCGAGTTGGAAAGAGAGAGGAACCCTGGGCTGGAACAGAGGTCCCTGTTGGTCAAAGAGGAGCTGGGTCAAGGGGAACTGGGGCTGAGAGAGAAAGTGGCAGGGCAGAAGCAGTACTTGCTATTGGAGAATGGAAGGAACCTGCCCCACACCCTTCCACCAAGGACCCCTACAAACCGGCCAGACTTGAGGGCTAGGGGTGCCCAAGATGCGAAGCACACAGCAAAGCTGTTCAATGTCGTTCTCTCCGGGGAAAAGAGGGGACCCATTCAATAGCTCCCCCATGATGCAGCCCACAGCCCTGTGGATACAGAATCCCAAACAGCTCAAGATCTCACCCTGTGGAATGCAGACCTACTCACATAGTTCCAAGGCTTAAAGGCTTCAAGTCCAGGGGTGCAGACCCCCAAACGAAGTCCTCAGCCTTAGAACACAGAGCAAGCCCCCAACAACTCCAAGATGTCCAGGAGCCTCATGTTCTAGGAGGCATAGCCCCCCCTTCACTTTCTGGGGCAGACCTACAACAGCCCCAAATCTCAGATCCCTTGGGCACAATAAAGGTTCAGAGCCTTCAAACCCGGCAAAAAAGAAAATGGTTCAGAGCCTTTAAACCCAGTGTCACAGGCCTCTGACTAGTTCAGACACTTATCCTGGGCTCTGACCCCTGCACATATCAGCTTCAATAGCCCACACCTTGAATCTCAGACCACCTCCCCCCTGCCCAGAACAATCCATTCTCTGATTGAGACAATCACTTTCCCTCTACCCTAATCTCCTACCCAGCTCAAAACCATCAGAGTGAGGAACACTAAACTCATGCCAAACTTCTCAGAATACCCCAGCCAGGGAAGGCTCCCCCGTGGCCCACTTTACCCTTTTCCCTGTCTTACCATAGGTCAACGCCCTGGTCATATTGGCGGGCACCATACAGGAGCTCAGGGGCTCGGTACCACCTGTGCAGAAGAGGGTTGCTGGTCATTGGTCTGACAGGCTGCCCTGGAAGCTCATCCCAACACCATAAGCACTTTTTCCCCCGGGAAGGGACTGAGGGGAATCTGGCCCTCCCTACCTGGTAGCCACCTGGTGTGTGTAGAGGCGGCTGCCATCAGGAGAAAAGACCCGGGCTAGACCAAAGTCTGCTATCTTGAGCTGGCCTGAAGCACTGATGAGCAGATTGGCAGGTTTCAGATCCTGTGACATGAAAGGAAGCATCAGTCCCTCTGTGTCCACTGTAGGACTCTGGGATGTGAGGAATTGACACCCAGGGCAGCCTCAGCCCCTGCTTCCTCTAAAGCACTCCTACCCCCAACTACTCACCTAAAAATCCCCTCTAACTTCTTCAAGGGTTAGCCCACCCCTAGCCCATGCTGGGACTGACCCGATGCACAATGTTGTTGGCATGGCAGAAGGCCACACCCTTGAGCAGCATTTGCAGGTAGCTCTTGACCTGTGCTGGAGCCAGCGGCCTCTGGGCATGGCGCACCACCTCTGCCAGGTCTGACAGCATGAACTCGAAGGCCAGCACGAAGCCTGCACCATGTGGGAACACGGCCTTCAGCTGCACCACCTGCAGGCAGGCATTCCATGACTCACCTCCTTGCAACCTCAGGACCCCCATCTTGCTCTGACAGAGGATCAGGGTGGCAGAGAAGTCAACACAGGGCCTAATGTCAGCTAGGGACTCAGCACTCACACTGGTCTGCAAGTGACGCACTCAACCTCTCCACAGAAACTCAGGGAAAGGTTAGAATAAGGTCACTTAGCAGGCAGATTTTAGCACATCCAACCAGCACAACCCCAGAGACATACGTGAGCAGCCTGCCTCCTACTTCCTCTACAACCATTAAACCCCAGGACCTAAGGAAAGCACCAGGAGACACATCACAAATACCCAGGACACCTGTCTCAGAGGGCCTGCGGAACATAGCAGAGAGCTAGAACTAAGGAACTCATCCCAGGAACAAATGATCAACAAAGGAACAAAAGGGATGTGTACAGGAACACATATACAAGATGGCAATGGGATTTTAAGTGGAGAAAGGGACACTGTATTTGGATGATGTGGGGTCAGAGGAGGGCACAAAGATTAGCCAGTTATGCGGTGATTTGGAAGAAGCTCTGGGCAGGGAGAACAGCAAGTGCTAAGCCCTGAGACAGGGACAGAAGGAGTCTAGAGGGAAAGGAGAATGGATGGAGCCTAGATTGGTGCTAGTCATGGGAAAGATGCCTAAGAAATTATAGTGAGTGGTGACAATAACCTGAAGTGGAGACAAATTTGGAATATTTTTTTAAATGGAACCTTAAGGACTGTTTAACACCAGATGCATGCAGAGGCCCTATCACCAGCCTCTTATGGATTTTTCTCCATCTGCCACATACAAGGTTGATCTGGAAGCCCTTTTATTTTCCACAAAAAATAAGAACAGCCTTACTGTTTTTCCTGACTTTTCAGGTAGTACATAATTATCTTATGGATAAAAACACATACCTATTCATATAATAAAGTTATAAGGAACAAAACAACAAATGAAAAACCCTACCACCTACAATCTTGAAGCACATCCTACCAGACTTTAAAAAATATTTTCATATAAAACCAGAGGACACCTAAAGTTTTATAAGATGCTATGTCACCCAATACATCATGAGCATCTTCACAGGACCATGAACATAAGTCAGAGGCTCACATACAGACTCAAGCCTGTCACCCTACAGGAAGCTGAGTGTTCTACTCCAAAATGGAAAAGAGAAAGCACCATATGAACAATGATGCTGGGGGATTTAAGATGTCCCTCCTTTAGTCCCCATATTTCCCTACCACACATCATACCAAGTGGGCCCTATTGCCTCTGCAGGTGTCCCTTACACTTTTAGTTCTTAGGAGTCAGGTCAAGGCCAGTTCTTCATTGTGTCACAAGTGCCCCACAAAGGCAGAGCTTATTAGGGAAGCTCCCAAGGGAAGGCTGTCTGAACTCCTCTCTCAGACTTGAGCCAAAGCCTCCACTGACAAGGAAGGGCTCATGAGCTGGTGACAAAAATTCCCATCTTTGCCTGAGAAACAAAGACACTGAAGTCTGTTTTGCACAGTAGTGAAGAGGACTTGAGATGACAGTGGACAGAGGTAAAGCATTTGACAGTCTACAGAACACATTAGGAGCTCAACAGTTGCTACTTATCATTAGAAATCACTAGGGCCGGGAAAATGGCTCAATGGTAGAGCACTTGCCTAGCATGCCAGAGGCCCTGGGTTTGAACCCCAGCACCGTGTGCATGCATGCATAAATAAATAAGCAAATAAATGGGGGCAAAAATCCACTAAATATTTTAAGTGAGACGTGCAAGTTGACAAAGAGATTAATGCACACACATGAAGACATGAGTAAATGACGGATAAATGAAGCGATTAAGAGAATGAGGGTAGACAAAATAGGGCATAAATAAGGTGTGAGGAACCAGATGGATCAACACAGTGGGGAAGGGAGGGAAACCCTAAAAGCGGGTGTATCTGGATAGATAAAGGCTGGAAAGGGTGGGAATGAGTGAAGGGGGACAAGAAGGTGAAACCTCAGAAATCACCCCTTGCCCACCTGGGCCCA